ACAAACAAATGTGATTCAGATTTCTTTACAATTACACTCGACTAACTTTGATCATCGTACTTTAGAAAATAAAACTTTTACGAGGCTACTCATATCGATTAATCACAATTCTTCGAATTGCTTTCCCCGTTGATTGAGTTGTACAGTGATTAATTAACACGTCGATCGATTTATCATTGTACAACGTACATATTACGTTGCACAGTGTGTAACAGCTAGTGAACTCTGCAACAAAAAATGATTCACGATGCGCAAATCTCAATAGTCACACGAAACATTGCATTTGCATACGATGTAACACAGTACTTGGAATAAAATTAATGGCGGATTAACGGTACATTCAATTCGCTTTTTCTTGCGGGACTTGATTACTCTTTGGGAATCTTCGCACGCCAATTTAGGTCACTCCAAATTTACTCACGCGATTCAGCTATTTCATGCCCAATCACAACGATTAATACACGCGTGAATTGTCCATATTTTCTATTAACTTTCAATAGAATATATTACACAATATTTATTATATTGTAGCAAGAAAAAAGACAACGAATGATTCTGGCTACAAAATCGATGTTTAGCGTTCGATACAAATGAATTCAATTCTATGTAACATTATCGTTTCGATACTAATGGATCGTAAGTGTAAAAACTCTGAAGATGTAAAGGAAACAAGCTTGCTATTGTTAGTGCATATTACGTACAGGGTGGGAAAAAGTACGCGTAGGATGTTTGATTGTTGCAGCTCACGTGTGCAATTAATTTCATCTTCCTTAATTTTCTATTGTTAAAACTTTCCATACTCTGATATGCTTATTTTGCAAAGCAAAGCAAAAGTACGAAAGATATAAGTATGTAAAAAATCTCCTTTGCAAGAACGTCGTATATAATAAGATTGCTTTATCTTGCTGAATATTTCCATTAATTCAATAGCTAATAATTAAAGTAAATAGGCATTTGGTATAAGGTTCTGTTAGATTTGACGCGATACGGCTAACATGGTGTATTAACAAATAGTCCGAAAACACTTTCCTGTAAGATGTTTTGATATCATTGTTGTTGATGTTTTGATATAATTGTATCATTACAGTTATTGTTACTAGAATCATTAGCTTTGTAAGATAGTGATTTAGAGATCAATTGCACATACGTAGATCCGATAGTATGAACAAAAAGGTTTTGAGTTTGGAAAAATAATTGCGTATACATAATCTACTTATCGTAAAGCTATTGTGAAAAGGTGTGAGATCTAACTCACACAATATCTGGTTACTGACTTTGATATATATGTTTCACAATTACGGCTTGCTTGTTCCCAGAAAACAGCTGCTCTTTCAAACTCCATGAGATGTAACTTGTCCGTGTAATTGTTCGAAACACCTATTGTTGAACGATGTCAAATAGAAGGCTGAGATCGAATTTCGCACAATGTAATAATACTTTGAAATAAACTTTCGAAAATGGATACCGACTTATTATTAATTTTAAATTACGCATATTTAATGGAATGTACGTACATGTATCATATATAAGACATATAGGACGTTCTTGAAAGCGTGAAAGATAACATAATCCAGAGTTACGTTACACTTGCGTCGTATTTATTTTCTACACTTGTATCTAATATTATACTAGAATGAAAATTATCTATCATTCAAATGATATTTGACAATCGATATTTGTCATAAATACATTCAATTAATTTCATACACACGCAATATATCTCCCATACGTATATGGAAAACAATGTTTAACTTACATACGGACAATAAGCTGCGCGACAAGAATCGATAGCAGAGAAAAGAAACTTGAAAGAAAAATGCCGATCTAGTTCAGAAGGAATTATTTATACGCAAGCTGCGTTGTTCACACGTGGTGACTGTTTACAAAACCAAATCGAATCACTTAATACGTTGTTGTACAGGCGCTTGCGCTATTCTAGGACTAGCATAAAAAGAAAATCAACATACCCTCTGATGCGCAAATTCCAAGATAATCGCTATAAATCCTATCCACGTGCACTTTGGATCGCAGAAAAATTCACAGGAAGAAACGATTTGTTCGCGACTAGTTAGACAAATTGATCAACTAACGACAAACAAAACCAACGGCGCTGGTTTCTTCTCTAGTGGAAGAGAAGTTTCCTTAGTACAAAGTTTCACCGATCGAGTCGAAGGAAAATTTGGCGAAAGTTCGGAAAAGGCACGGATAGACTTTCGAAGCGGAGTGGAACGTTTCGGTATATGCGAGCGACACACAGGATTGAGACCGACTAACCGGCTTTCCGCGTCAAGGCACACGCTAGCCGAAGCTATGCTGCGCGGCCTCTTTAAACCCATCCCTCTGATAGGCTCACGCGGAACCCACCAGGTAAGTTCCTACGACCCTACCTTCGAACCTGGAGGCGCGTACGCTTGTGATTGCGTTACTTCTCGCCGTTCCAAATGAAATTTTCTACTTCGTACTAACAACGTTACGCGCACGTTTTTCATCCTCCCGAGAGAAAATTGAATGGTCGCGTTAGAACCGTTGCGAACCGATGAAATCCACCTACTCTCTCTTCGTGCCATTTGTCAGAGAAATGAGATTAAAAACGATTAAAATGTTCACTTTTGTGATTTACTTTTCCTGCGTGCATACAGCTTCTCATATTTCATTAACTATCTATTATTAGAGCGAAGATTTGAATGCATTTATGGACAATTTAATTAATTAATTAAGCGTTAAATTATTAGTCATATTTACGATCTCTTAGAATGTTTCATCGTTAATCGTCGCATAAAAAATATCAACAATTACACGATATCCCAAGAATTAAATAAACGAAATTATTTAAATCTTTACAGCTTACTTGTTATCATCTTCAACATCAGCAGAAATAATTAAGATCTTCGATTTAAGTGTGATATCATCTATATCGAATAGATACTTAGGTCTTTATTTAACAATGATTCTTGTAGCTATTGAGCACAATAAAATCTGATTCTTTCCTTACACGTTTATATATTTCGGTCCAATAACGAGTGCTTCTTAACCTGACCTGGAAACCTCTACTCCAGTTCTTTCACCCACACATTTTCCCTTTCGATTCCACTCACTGACGTCGTATAAAGGATGTGAAAAGGTAGGAAATTGTGCTCTGAATTTTGTTTTAAATTAAGTTCCGGAGATAAAATACGAATTCTTCTACATGGCAGCTATGTTTCGGAAACCGAGCGCAAGATTGCTTGCCACTTATGCTAATCCTCGGTTCAATTTTCGTATAATAAAATATTCTTTTTCTTTCAATGAATATAATCTACCCTTTTTGGAGGAGAAAAGCATAAATTGTTGGAAAACTTCTGAAGTTTGAGAAGAATATAAGAGAGTCGTTATTAATACGCGTGAATTCTCGTTCCAATTTTATGCTAAAAGTTTCTTTAAAAAGTAATTTTATCGATTGAGACATAAAATAAAATTTACTACCTGCTGTACGAACGAATGTAGTTACGACGGGTGAGTTAAAACTGTTTACGATGACATTTTCAAAAACATATAGTGTGTCTAGCAATTCAGAAAGATAATTTTCTATTACTGAATGCAAAACACATCATCCCTTGCGGGGATCGAACCCGCGACCTTTGGATTAGAAGTCCAACGCGCTATCCTCTGCGCCAAAGGGACCTTGATGCTGGTTAACAATTTATGCAAAATGTCAATCATAAAAACCATTTTTTAAAATATATTTATGAAAGTTTAAAAATATAAAGGTACGTTTGACTAAAATATGAATATGCGTATGGCTAGATATATCGCGCATATATTTCAAAAGTGACATAACCTAAATAAGTGTTCAGGAAAAGCGGAGAACTATTTGGGAGCTTATAAATAAATATTTACTAAACACATATGGTTGGCAAAAGGAATGTACAATTATCAACAATTATTTTTATAATTATCCATTTTTAGTCTTTGAAATTCACCGTTGCTCGTTTTCATAAAATGAAACACTTTAATTTAACATCTTATATACAAATGTATTTTATGTCATAAGAGTTTAATCTAATCAGCGAATGTTAATCTAATCTGGATAAGGTTAATCCAATCGATTGATATTTTAATATATTATTTGTTATCGCGTAAACACAATAGACAAAGTGAAACATTTAACGTGTTCACCATCTTTAATAACGTCTAACTTCTGAACATATCGTAATTGTATAACGATCAGTAGTAATGAACTAAGTACATGTAACAGAGTGACGTAGTAGAAAAATCAAGGAATAGTCTGACGTAGATTCAGGAGAATCGAAGATTCCAGTGCCGATGCAATTACTGCATGGAACAATTCCGGACATGAAATAGTATTAGAAAAGGAAAGACAAAAGTTGAGATAGATAAAGACAGACCCGGAGAAAATAGTAGAAATGGAAAATTGGGAAAAACTAGAAACTTCGCACTTGTGCAATCTGATCATCGCACGTACGCTTGTGAGTTATGAACCGCGAGAACGAAGAAATGAATTTTGAAAATAACGACGCAAGAGAATGAGGACTGAAAATTGTCAGATTGAGAATTAAAAATACTTTGTATTTGACACCAAATGACGTTGACGACAAATAAACACTTATTTTCTAAATCGTTCATTCTGAATTCTTCGTCATTTAACTACACCATCAAAGGGTTAATCGTTAAAAGTACAAGAACATCGATACAATATCACGTATGTTGATAAATCTTATAATATAGACACTAATCCTGTGCCAAAAACAAAACAACAACATCCGACATTCAATATATGAGTGTGAATCATCTCGTTTACAATAAGATAATCGGTATTTTCCAAGCAATTTTCTACGCTGATATTTTGTGTGTAAACAGATAACGATTCGACAAGCGAAACTTTGGTACATGTCACGCATCGGCAGGTGGCTCCGTGCAGTGTGATTCTTCGATACTCGTTTCCACCACCACCGACGTTAGTACCACACCACTACAACTACCGACAACCCTGGCTGGCCTCACGGTTAGCAGCCCCTAGCGAGTCGGGGACGCCTATGAAGCGGCAACCCCTTAGCGTTCAGTGGTACCGCATCCTCCGTAGCAGGCGTTACGCGCGCGTACCATTACATTCCGTCCGAGGTTCTTCGTGTATACTTTTCTATCTTTCGGAAAGTGTCATTGAGTCTGTCACACCGTCTCTAGCCTCGAACTGTCAAGAATTCTGTTCGCCGAATCCAAAACCGGTAGTCGAGTTCTTTTCGCCATCCATGGTAGCTATGCAACTTGTTCCGTGAATTTGATGTTCGTCCGTTTCTATGCGATTTCGTGTGTTTTCTCTGATTCGCGGTTATCCGTACTGTGTCACTCGTAAATCGACAGTTTGTTCTGTATATAAGTTCCGTATTCGGAGACGAGACGCTTGCGACGTAAGTTATAATTCCGACACAAATCCTCGATCTCGTGAGATACTTTATCGCATTTGATATAAAAATGTTATTAAAGAAGTGTGCTCCAGAATTCACGCTATTCTTGGTGCTTATCATTTTTACATGACTCTAGTTATCTATAAGTGACCGATTAATTTCCCTTCACCGTGAAAACTGACCTTTAGCTTCTTCTCGCAGTGACATTGCGCGATTACATTTCACCATTGCGTACGATCCGTAACATTGTCACGTACGTACCGTTGAAATACTTGATGATGCACTGTATCGAAGGAGAGGATACAGTTTGATTTTTCTCTATTTTGCTTTTCACTCATTGTTTCTCCAACTTCTTTGTTTTCGTTCGACTCGAACGTCAAATTTTATGCATTTCGATTGCCGCGCATTGCTTCGTTTAACAATAAACGTTGATTGCAGATTGCTTGTGCTTTGGAAGCGCGTCAAATTATGAATGCGTGAATTCGCGAAGATCAGCTGAGATTTTCATCACAGAAAATTTCGATAATCGTTGAAACGTCTCATTATCGTTTCCGCAGCAATATTTTGACATATCCAGATGAAAAGATTTCTTTGATTTCCGTGAAAATGCTTTACGCAAATGATTGGTTTTATTTAAATGCATATTTATATGTTTATATTTAAATGTGCATTCAAGCAATAATGAATTTTATATGCATTCATGGCAAAGCGCTTTTACTTTTTTCGAACGCTGAAAAGGTAGATACATACACGTCTGAATATAAAATGAGACCTCCTATTTTGTATTTCGTTTTTTGTTTTCGGTTTCTTTAGTTGTATCACTGTAGATTTCTTTTTTCCGCTATATTGTACTATCGTTGTCTCTATTTATCTTCATGAAAGTATTTATCAAAATTTCGTTTAATTTTAGTGCTTGTTAGAACTTGAAAACTTCGACGGCTCAGATTTATCACTGTCTCTGTTGGAAACTGATACATACCATCGCACCGTTATGAAATAAGTTATACGAAACAGTTTCTAATGATAGAAAAATTATATACTTGGAAGGACGATTCAATAGAAAATCCATACTATTCTTGCTAGCACATCAGTTTTCGTTCCTCCGGACTCCTATCGTTGTTTCGAATCTCCAGAAGAAAGATTCCACGAGAAGAGGAATTTGTCTTCATCGATTACGATTCGTCACCTGTAAGTTTTTTTAAATAAAGGAAGAACTTCTTCCATCCATGCTTATTGTTAGCTTACATCTCCTTTGTCTTGAATGTTTTGGATGAAAGTCGAGATAGCTTGACATGCAATCAAGTTTTCATAAATTACACAAACGATACTTGATTTTTTCATTTTATTAATGCACCGATCCATATATTTTAGAATAGAGATAGAAATATATACATGCATATATATTTCTATGGATATGGACAATAAAGTTACTTCCATTGAACTGATTGTGAAAAGGAGAATATAAAAGTATTAAGCAGATTTTTATGCGAAGGAGATCGCGTAAAGTTGAAAATTGCAATTTGAGATTAAATTAAGTTCTACGATTATTGACAAAAAAACGTTATGTGCAATTAAACAGACATAAAAGAGCAGGAATATTACGTGTTTTTCAAACTTTTTGCTGCAGTGGATGATGTTTGTAATAAAGAATTATCGACCGTTATTTCATGGAGAATAGTTAATACCTAAACCTGTATGAATTTTGCACTTTTTTCATTAAAATTGATTGCAATATAAACAAATGTATAAAAGCATAGTACCTATAATTATAGCTGATACACGATTGCAAAGTCATCCGTGATATTTCTCTCAAATATTTTCGACATCATACTTTATTGCTGGAATAAAAGATTTACAACTGTTATTATTGGAATGAGAAAAGTTATGACTTTATTACGATTTCGGAAAAGATATTTAAGCTTGCAGATAGCAATCATGAATCATTTCGCGTGAACGACACATGCGTCGCACGTTGTTTACGTAATTTGGACATAAAACAGTGTATCTTCATTTGCGATCCCCACTAGACTAAAATAGCCAATCGATTTTTGTCAACTACACAGGAGACAACATTCCATGACAAAATTATGAGACGTGTGAAGGAATTAAACAACATTGCACTTCATTAAGGATTTTATCTATATAACAAATATCGTTCCAAGATAAATATCAATAGTATAACTTTTGTTAAAATTGAAAATTTTTAATCAAATTTAAGGACTATTTAATCAGTACGTACTTCTCTTGTGATTGTAAAAGTTTGATGATTTCAGTGTTATGAAGACTTGATATCTTTGTAGTTTCAAAGTTGTTTTACTAAGTTTATATTCATCAAAATAAATGATCCGAGAAATTGCATTTTTGTTTGTGTGTTATTCTTTAAGAAAAATAAAATGCAGCAACTTTGAAAGTATTATTAAGCTAGAAACTGAAACTTTTTGAATCAAGTAGTAGTCAGATACGGAAATTATTGCTCAACAGTAGTTATTGTAGAAATAAAGAAAGAAATATTTCCTGCATTATTAGACGGAAAAATATTTGCAATAGCCATAAAAATGCAACACTACAAAATTAATTATAAGTCACAATTTTTCTAATTCAGCCTTAGATAAAATAAAACATTAGAAATTCTAACAATTCATAATAAAACATATTAAAGACGATCGCAATATTTTATAATTATAATTATAATATTTTATAATTATATTATAATTAGCGACATTGAAGCGACCACGATCACTCCATCGTAACTCCAATTGAAACTGAAATTGACATTCAGTCGTAACAGTAATTAATTACTGGCAGTACAAAAAAGGCGCAATTTGCCCAATATGAAGGTGAACCAACATCTACGTTGGCCAAGAAATAGACCACCACTACCACTATAAATACTACTACTACAGCTAAAATTCTAAAAGCGAGCATAGTGACGAAGTAATAACAATAATGACTCTTCATCCTCTGGATGGAAAGCCATTAGTAGTTGCCCTCTTCTATGGCAAATTGCCATAGAGTCTCTCGAGCTTATAAGGATTCTTTTTGCTTCGGACACGATGCTGAAACTTAAATCTAGGCTCGAGATCGCAAACAAAAAATTACTTTTAATGATAAATCACGAAACCTAAATGCCCAAATATACGAACAACGATTATAACGATCGTTGGTCATACACGCGTACATGTATATATAGAACCTCGAGCAATATACGAGCGTTTCGAGTCCTATTTCGCGATTACGATCGCGATAGCGTGATAAAATCGTCAAATTTGAAAAATCGATAGACGAAACTAGACGATTATCATTCTCCATTTGTGCCAATTTCATCATCTATTTTTCAAATAATAATTTCAGAGGTTGATTGATTGATTATACGAAAATGCGCTTACCCGATCAGAGACTATATCAATCTGCCCTGGTGATACCTACTTATAACTAACACATATCTACTTATAACTAACGCACATCACAGAATATGCTATCTATCTATCTAACCCTATATTTAAGAAATGACAAAAGACAAATACACCAACACACGCACAATACACGATTATCACACATATCAGCCGGGTATTGAAGCCTACACGAGAGAGGATGTGTTGGGGCGCCTCCAATACCCCCGAGTTTTATTGCTTTCACACTCTAATTTACGTACCATTTTCTATTTATGTTTCCAAAGTCAACTGGCGATGACTAGCCACCATTGCGTAAAACCAATGCGCAATAAAAATATGTATAATCTCAATTTTAATTAGAAATAATTTTATAATTGGAAGACTGTATATGTATTGTAAAAAAATAATGATATTTAGATAGATCAAGGGACGAAACGAAGTGACGCAATTTAACAATCTATCCACATATATACAATGTGGAAAATACATCGTATACGATACAGTAACGCATAGCTACCGTCGCTGAGATATTATTATAAACTTATGAACTACGGTCATCGTGCCCATTGCTTTTCCTTTACCCATGTAGCACCTAGGCACGTGATCGGGAAACTGCTAATAGACGTACAAAGTGTTAAATCTGAAAATCCTGAACTAAAAATAATTAATGTACCCATCTTTTATCTAACGAGCTATTAATATTTCAGTTTGCATTTCCTCGTTTTACTTTGAATTAGAAAAATTATTCTATTATTGAGAATTCAGTAGTGCATTAAAAAAAGAATTTCAATGGAAAAACACAATGCAATATAATAATTGATTACAAATTACATACTAATGAAAATAGCGTCCAGTGATTCCTTTGTCAAAACATATTTTCGAATATATGAAAGCAGTGTTCAAAACGCGTGGCTTAGATTCCGAAATCTGACTATCACGAAGATTCTTCTTGCACGTGAAATTTAATACGGAATATTTTTATATAGAAATAATTAAATTTCAATTCTTTTACATTTTTAGTTATTTTTCCGTATATAACATGTATGAATATCAAATAATTTAATCATATATAATATTATAATGTAATAAATAATGAATATTATATTATATAATAATATTATAATGAAATAAAAGATGAAATAAAATAAATTATTGTCATGATATTAACGTATATAAAAGAGCATGTTATGCAAGAAGACCTATCTCCAATAAAACACTAATAAATGAAAGACAGAAAAAGGAAATGTTACTACTTACTGATAAATATTGCATGATAAATATATGGTGGTCATTATATTCGTAAAAAGTTCTATGTAATACAACCAATCACTCGTGTCGATTGGGATTTTTCATCGTACGACATGATTGAGTGACCAAAGAAACAAAAATGCATGTGACTCACAGCTAGATTGCGGAGGATGTTACCATCGATGTTGTAATAGCTTAGAAAATCTCACGTTATCACGAGTGTAAGAATTCACATTTTCTAACACAAGGGTGGTTATCACGGAAAAATCATCGAATTCCAAGTCGAATTCCATTGGCGAAATGGAAATTACGTAAAATCTGTAACAAAACGTAAACTAATGTTCATTATTTAGAAAGTTTGAAATAATGGAAGATTAATATCTATTAGATATATAATTCTAATAACAGTAATGAAAATTGGAATAATAATAATGATAATAATAAAAATTTGGATTCTAATATAGAAATTTAGAAAATGAAAATTTAGTAACTTCTGCAGCATGTTATTTATTTTATAAGTGAAAAATTTAGTAGATCCAGTGGTAAAACGTTAGACTGCTTCCGTTAAGGTGAATTAAACATTACCCAATCTCCATAAAAAGCCATCAAATTGATTGTTCATTGTCAAATTGTTCATATTTAAACTCCTATTCTTTTCTCGCCATTAACCAATAATCTGTACAAAAGGAAACCAGGAGTTTAAAACAACTGTATAAGATAATATTCATACATGAAATGTATAAAATAAGTTATAATTTACTACCAATTATATTCAGATGAAACAATAATCGAATTCAAAATTTGTATCAAAAGCAACTAATGCTGTGTACTTACTTACAGATTATCGACATGTCTAATAGCTGAATACACGATCGAAGAGAAAAGTACAAAAAAGCTTAAAGAAAGGCTATTTAACATTACTGTAATAATATTTATAAATTGACAAATAAATTAGTAATCAAACGAACCTAATATCTAATATTATATAGAGAAAAAAGTAGTGGACACGTTATGCAGTTAATATATAGGTTACGTACCTGAAACGAGTTGACATGTCTCTTCAATTTTCGACAATCGAATGGTATTCCAGGCCACCGTTATGTCCTTAAATTTCATGCTGGTGGGGATGTTTTGCCTGGCGGCAGGTCGAGTATATTCAAACCCTTTAAACACAAAGCCGTGAATTTTAGGAAAGGCCACGTGTTGTGTGAAGTGTTTCCAGCAGAGTAATCGTTTCTCATATTACGTTCAAAGAAATAAATATCTGAATTTTAAACGTGGATATATTTATTACAAACTCGATATAAGAATGAACAAGTGATTCTGTCTGACTCGTGAAAGGAAATGGCTTTCTTAAAAATCGAGGATAATGAACGAGATCAGAAGGAATTTAAGACTTGTATAAAAAGGTACATAATAACACGATATTTAATCGCACACAGATCATCTTCTTGCACAATAATTTATAATTAATAATATTGGTGAATTACCAAGTGACAAGTTGTAGGTTATATGCAAATACTTTGACAGATTTCTGTAGAAAAAT